TGAAGTTTCAGACAGGTAAATGCAAAGTCCTGCATAAGAGGAAGAAAAACCATGGGCACCAATACCCTTCGGAACCAAACAGCAGGCTGGAAAATAGCGATGTAGAGAAGGAGCTGGCARAGAGGCTAATCAACAGCCAGCATAGTGTCCTTGCCCTTGACACAAAGGCCATCAACTGGACTGCATTTTACACTGCCTGGAAGTCAAGGGAGTTGATCTTTCCTCTCTACTCATTACTATTAAGGACACATCTGGAGTGTTGGGTCAAGATCTGGGCTTCCCAGAACATAACAAACTTACTGGAGTATGTCCAAATATAGCTAAAGAAGACCAAAGGTCTGGAGCACTTTTTTATGAGAAGAGGCTGAGAACTTGTACTCTTTGGCTTGGAAAAGAGAAGGCTACAGAGGATGTTATTCCCCTGTATAAATGACTGATGGGAGGGAATGAAGATAAATAAGACAGACTCTTCTCAAAAGCATCCACTAATAGGGCAAGAGRCAAAAGACACACATTTTCTACTGGTCAAACACTGGAAGAAGTTCCCAGAGTGGTTGCGGGGTCTCCATCCCTGGAGATATTCAAAATCCTACCGGACACAGTCCTGGGCAACCTGCTCTAGCTGATCCTGCTTCAGCCGACTCAAGATGATCTTAAGAGGTCCCTKCCAACCTCACCCATTCTGTATGTAAGACTCTGGGTTGTAAGCAACCGTGACAGAGCGTCCAGGCTACAACCACAGCTGAGTATGTCAGACTGTGAGGGTGGTGATTAACAATTATGTCCTCATAGGAAGTGAGTATTCCTCTTCAAACAGCAAAAACAAAAACATGTAAACTGGATAAAAGATTATCCCAAAGTGTAAGTAGTCAAGGGCTATGAAGCTATTTTCTTGCAACTACCGTCGTTAAATGACTTAATGTATGCTTATTTCACTTACTATGATTGCTACTTAAACTTTAAAAATTCATGTTTGTGCCTAAATACCGTCACAATGTGCTATAAAGCAACCACATATATTTATTGTGCTGAGAAAACCCACCTTGCTTCTTCAGACAGCCTTTATATGGCATAACAGAATTATTAACAAATATGACATTTATGTAAGACCATTACATTTTTCCTCCAAATATGAATCAGCACCGTATCATCACAAGTCACTGTCGATTTATCTATGCTATCAAGAGCCCTCACAGCACTCAAATTCCATAGAGTATCTGTAATATTTTTGATATAGGCAAAGGGAGTATTTATATTAAACAATCAATGTTACTCCTTTACTTTCACGCCACCAATGAAATACACATACAGCACAGAAGCATATATCACAGCAGAATTGAGAAATCACCAGCTGTTACTAACTTTACAACATAAATGGGTTCCGCAAACATGGAGGACTATTTCCAGTGGTTATTTGTGATGACCCACAAGAGACCTAGCAATGTCCAGAGATGATAAATGACATCAYAGTTTAAAATCTCAATTTCTCCTGAAAATTCTTCAGGAGAAAAATTCTTCTTCAGAAGTTCTCCTACTACAATGAAATTCTTCATACATACAGTTAAGATTTGTGGCAAGAAGTCAACTGTGTTTTCATGGCTCTTGTACTACCAAAAGGCATTTTTCCCTAACAGCACCACATATCCAGAAAACAATGAAGTCCAACCCACAGAAGGACACAATTTCAAAATGTGAAACTGCTATCAGTGTCACACCACAAAATCAAATTGTTGCCCTACATTACTCCAGGCACAGCACYGGCTCATTTTGTTTTCCAAGCTAATAGCAACTTGGAAACTATATTAAGCTTATTCTCCTATTTAAATGTTCAGGTGTGGGGAAAGGAAGTAGAACACTTAAGTTAGCTATGAAAGCTTTATGAAGTTATCGATTCAAAGTTTATCACCACTCACCTTTTGGTTTTGGCAGATAGACTATGCATTAAATTCTCTCCTCAAGAATAAAACAGTCAACTGCACATACTTCATTTGCATCAGCTGCTTGCCATCTCAAACAGCAGCTATAAGCTTTCACCTTCTTTTTTTTCCACTGGCACTTACACAAAAATCTTGAAAATGTAAAATTGCATTACATTACTTCATTCAAATTCTCCACTATTTGCATTAAGCTATTGCAAATGCTAGTGTTTTTCCCATCACCACTGCAGGCAATAGAAATCTCAAACATATAACATTTAAAAACATCCTGTTCCTGCAGGACACTCTAGTGACATTCACTTTATTTGACATGAAAACTTATCTACCCTACTCCCACATTTCTATTTCACATCCTGACTGAGTGAGCCCTTGTTAGTAAGCTGTCAATCAGCTTCTTGCCATATGTAAAAAAAAAGTCAGAACCTGAAATCAGTTCCCCTGAGAAATCACCAGATGATGTCAAAGAGAGCCCATTCTTTCATGCTTTTGTATCAAATTCAGACCTAAATCACATCCATTAAGGTACATTAAAATAAAAATCTAGAGTTCAGAAAGCTAAGGAAGTTAATTAAGCATATTTGCCCCCAATCAACATGATTCAAGGTAATATTTCTTCCCATGAGGCAGCCTTTCCCACTTCAACTCCAAGTCATGCCACAGATTGTCGTGATCAATGAAAAAAACAATTCAGCTATAATACTGAAGAAGAGGCTAAAGAGAATATACTGGAAAAATACACTGAATGCACAGTTTAGTCTTGCACCACTGTCACCATAAAAAAATACGCCACTTTCCTTGTTTCTTAAAAAGTAAGTGGCTCTATAGTCTTTTCATCCTCCATGGCTTCTCTGCCCCTACATTTCTTTCACTGTCCATGCTCATTGTACCCATGCTCCTCACAAGCAAATGTAATTCATCCACTGCTCTTTAGGAAACTGATGTTTTAATATCATATGGCAATGAGGAGCTGAAAAAAATTGCATATCTTTCACAATGAAATAAAACAGAGATCCCTATTCCAGAAACCATTTTTCTCCTCATCAAAGAATCTGTCCAAAATTGAAGGAATTAAGAGTAGACATTGTGAAACACACTGACAAAATAAACAGCAGTAACAAGCAGTACCCTACAAGCATTTTAAAAGAACTCAAGGTTTAACAGCTCARTAAGGAATGACAATGGGTTAACTCTCATTCAACAATTCCTTGGCATTTCAGGACTAGAAATGTCAAGCAGCAAACAACTATTTTTTTAAAAAATCTTCAACAAATAAGACTGTTAATGTGAGCAGAAACTACAAATAAAAATATGTTTACTGCACTCTTACAAAACTACATGATTTATATGAAAAGAATTAGCATGGCTTTAGCAAAAGGAAACCCTACTTTTCAGAACTATTTCAGAACTCTGAAAGAATCAATAAATACAGGGGTGAGGATGCTGTAGTTGACAAATTCAACTTTGGCTTTCCACAAGACTTCTCAAAAGGTTACTAGGAAACTAAGCAGCCACAGAATGAGGAGACAAAAATCTCTGGCTAGCTTGCGCACATCTGAATACTATGTGCAAAAAAGGAATGTGGGAGCCATAGTCAAAATAAGYGAAAAGGTAATTTCTCCCCCACTGTGGCTTGTAGACCTGTGGTATCTTGCTAGCCAGATGTTGCTGATATATGAAATCTACATGGAAAATCACATCAGAAAAAAAAACCCTGTATTTATTGGGCGATATTACATACAAAACCACATGCAGCTCTAGAAGTTCTTTGAGCTGTAAGTCATTGGTTCTTTGAGCTATAAGTCACGGGAGAAAAAGAGGGCAGTAAAAGGAAAGTGTCACTTMCCAGCTTGGTTTTCATCTTGGAGCATCAACTCTTGCTTATGACTACTTTTTTTAACAGTGAACCCTTAAAAATGTTACGACTTGCACAATACATATTTTTTATTACAACTGACATACAGGAAGCTCACCAGGAAGAGGCTTCTGAACGCTGACATTTGAAAGAGACTGCAACTACACTGTTAGCAAAACCACATGCTTTTCCACTTCTTTTACCAATGATCAGGAACAGATGAAAGTGTAGGTGCTGGGAAGCTTTTTTTCTTTGGCAGTTACGCACAAGCGTTTCAGTTCGGGAACATATGACAACCTGCACCCACTTCACTAAAATAACATACATAGGGAAACATAAAATCAAATTATGAGGTGTTTCTGTAAGACTGCTAAGTCACTGCCTCCTTTAAAAAGATACCTGAGTTCACAACAAGTTCTATTAACCAGTGCTTGAATGGATTTCAAAATTAGCTGCTGATGTTAGGTAAGACTTGTTTCTCATTTTCTTTGGATGAAGCACCAAAAGCTGCCCAGCCATACTAAAGTGTCACGTACCTCACTGCATAGCACTGAGGGGACACATCTTTCCCTTCAMCTCTGCTTTTCAGAGGTGTGCATACAGCCAAAAGCTGTAGCTCTGTGGAGGTATATATATATATACCTAGAGAGGTATTCCCCACATTCACCCATTCCTTGCCATTCCTTGGGCAACAACGTTAATTCATGTCATGGTATCCCTACACCCTGTCATGGTATTCCTAGGTGTGTCTCTGCCTTTAGGACATGATGCCTTTCAGGACAAGAGGCAGCAGGGAGAAATTGGTGCACAAGAAGTTCCACCYGAACATGAGGGAGARCTTCTTTACAGTGCTTGGAACAGATTATCCAGAGAATTTATGGAGTCTCCCTCACTGGGGATATCCAATAACGATCAGGATGCCATCCGGTGTCATGTGCTTTGGGACGGCCCTGTTTGAGCAGGGAGGTCGCACCAGATGACCCCGTGTGGTCCCTCCCAGCGTGACCCGTTCCGTGATTGTATGATGCCACACACGCTGGAGGGCGAGCGAGACCTCGTTCATACCGAGCCGCTCAGTGCATGTCTGACGGTGACTCCCACACAGCCGAGCCACCGACCCGCGCCCGCCCGGGGCCTCGGCACCGCCTCACGGCGAGCGGGGCGGGGCCCACCGGCCCCTCTGCACCTYCGCGGCCCCGCGCCCGCGTCACCTGCAGCGCCCGCACACGGGCCGCCTCTCGCAGCGCTCCACCGGCAGCTCCCACAGCCCCTCGCAGCCCTCGCCCTCCCCGCCCGCGGCCGTGCCCGGGCCCGGGTCCGCCCCGCCGCCGCCGCCGCCGCTGCCGCTCTCCTCCATGCCGGCGTGGCGAGGCCGCCGGCCGCCAGGGGGCGCCATCGGGCGACAGAGCACGTCTCCGGTGCTCACGTGAGGAGGCGGCACCGCCCCTTCCCGGGGCTCGCCCAATGGGAGCGCGCGGAGCGCCGGCGGAGCCCCGCCCAGCGGGGAGGAGCCAATGGGAGCCGCCGGTGCTGCGTGGTGGGGCGCCGCCGGCAGGGGGCGCTGTCGGCGTGCGGCAGCCGCGCGGAGCCGCCGGGCCTTCCACGGCACTGGCGGGACTGGGAGAGGGGCGAGACCCGTCCCAACGGGAACGGGAACCGGGAACCGGGAACCGGGAACCCCTACCCGACCCGCCCCTGCCCGCACTGCCTGGGTGCTGCCACCGCCAACAGACAGCGTCAAAACAGCCCAGGCCTGGAGCTGACAGCGCCCCGCTCAGCGTGTATAACAGCTCCCGGTGCTAGTGACGCTTGAGTGGAAGATTGAACTTTTGGTACTGTTTTGTTTAAATCAGAAACTTCTGGTCGTTAAAGAATTATCTGGCCACTTTAACTGATATTTTATTCCAAGTGCTGCAGAGTAGGTGTGTAAGTCTTCCCATGTGCATAAATCCCATAAAATCCTCTCCTGGCCTCACACAACTCCAGGCAAGTTTGTGCAGTGCAAGACTAAATAGAAGTTATACTGTGGTTGTTAAAGTAGATACGTTAATACGCTGACTCTGCTGGAGTCCACTATACAGTTCAGTGAAATTCAATTCCAAAGTTGTTGCAGTTTACATTAGGAATCTACTGAAATAGAGCAGCCAGTAATTATGACACAAGAGATCCTGTTCTGAAATTARCAACTGCAGATGAGTTGGCCGATTTTGTTATTTCCTGTTTTCTGCATTCACAGTAAACTGTATTGTGTTTATGTATATACAATCGTCAGGGCCATTTGATGTAATTCAGGCCTCCTAGTATTAGATTCATGCACAATATTAACATTGTTTTTCTTTTAGGTTGTATTTTTGTACTCTCCTTTTGTATATGTACCTCAAGCTACAAATACGTCAATTTCTTGTGTAGCCATTGATTTTACTCACAAGATTAAGCAAAATTTTTTTTAAAAAAAAAAAAAAAAAAAAAAGATAAAAAAGATTAAAAATTCTAAATTATATGGTTGTCTTTTGCTAGCATAATAGGCCACCTAATTTAAGACAGGGACAGCTGAAACTTTTTTTATTGATCTGAAAGCCTCATCACAAGGTAAGTTGTTATAACCTACAAGAAGTTCATTTAGGCCCATTATTAGAAGCAACAGAGCTGGAGTGGACAGGACAAGAAGTATTGATGACTAAGGCCAGGGTCGTTTTGCTACTTGCACCATACTGAGATGAGTGCCCATGTGAGGCCACTAACAGCAGCTTGGATATCCCTGCACTGCTCTCCACAAGCCTTCAAAGACTTGAGCTTTTATCTGCTCTGATGAGTATAATCAGCTTCAGTCATCATCTTAAAAGAAAGTAAACCATTGCAAACTGTTCTGGCCTGACCACAAAAAAAAAAAGGAAAATAGATCTGCAGATAGATGCCTACAATAAATGTAACCATAACTTGTCCTGAAGTAATTTTGTTGCCAAGGAAATGGGTGAATGTGGCAGTGAATACCTAGAGGCTCAACAGAGAGAGAATGCTTTTTTCTGTATGCGTACATCTGAAGAGCGAGTGAGTCAGCTGAAACTGAGGGAAAATGGAAGCACGAGATCAGGTTAGGATAACCTGACCACGACTAAAAGCTAGGCTTGAGCACAGAGGGTTYCTTTCAGCAGAACATTGCTAATTTGGACTACCAATAGCAGCAGAAGGGACTAAAAGCCAGCTGAACCCTAGCTTCTTTTTTTTTTTTTCCTTTTTTAACGGAGGTAGTGTTCRCTGTGCCTATGTTGTTCCAAAGCCAAGCAGGCCAGCATCTTCTATCACCAAAGGCCAAAAAAACTACAAATCTGACACTATATACTCGTTTTYTGAAAATTGAAAGCATTATTTTTAGGCCAGAAATTCTTGTTTAAGTGAGAGACATTTAAAAGGAAAAATGCCTGAATACTGAAGTTTGAGACAAAAAGTAAAATATATTTTAKGGCAGATCTTGATAATCTTTTGCAGGCTGAAGGGTATTTATGTTCACACTATCTTTCTAAAGCATGATTAGCTTRAGTATTCAATGTGCGTACTTGAATCCAAATTAACACCTCCACCATCATATTAGAAACCTGAGGAATTCACAGCATCTCTTTGGACCAGTGTTTGAAATTTGGAGATTTACAGACCTAAATGATGCAGTGACTGGAATCTTTGTGCTTGCATTTAATACATTTGACATATTGCACTGTTCCCTTTTTGGGATTATAAATGGTCACGTGTTTAGTGACTAACTGCAGATTCACTATAGTATGGAAAGTCCAAAAAATTTTGTGGAAAGTACCGTTCTCTCATGCAGTCAATCTCTTCTGCATCCTTATATAATCCATTTCTCTTTCATTCTAGGATTTAATACTTGTTTATTCTGGGGTTAGCCCTTACTGAGTAAGAATAAGCTACATTTTATGCTATTAAAAGTCACCAAAAAAAAGCCCTTCCTCACTCCTTGAAGAAGTTCAGATTTAGTATACATTTGTTTTGAGAGATGTGAAAAAACTGTCAGGATGGCAGTTTTCAAAGAATTTTTTTCAAATAGCAGGTGTAGTTCCCTGGCAGCTATAATCAGTTTAATTCCAAGTCCCCTGTTTCTACTGCCTGGTTTGACTCACAGTTTCAAATACCAGCATAAGTAATTTGAAATCATGCTGGATAAATTTTTGYTCTGTTGTGTCTTCTTTATAGAAACTATATCCTGGTACAGAGTGATCTTTCATGGCAAGGTTGAATTTTGGCTAGCTATGGTTCATGTTTCCTGTCCATCCCCATACTTGTGCGTGCATCCAGGTGATTGATCCAGAAGCCAGCAGTTAAGCTGGAGGGGCTGCCTGAGCTGTCTTTCTGCACAGCCACTGGTGTCAGCAAGAGGCACAGCCTGTGTAAGTGCAATGGCAGCTGGCAGCTTCGAAGCCATGCTGATCTAAGCTGCTGCCTCGGGGCACCACAGATGAGCCTGGAGAACTGACTGGCACTGAGAAATGTGAGCCAAGGGGGACAAGGCTGGAGACAGGTGAGCTGGGAGATGCTCATGCAAAGGCTGCCATGAAAAAGAAGGATGATGCTTTTGTTTGTTGGTGATTCTGCCTCATTGCCTCACAGCAGAAGATGGACATATTGGTGTTTGTACYGCAGGATGGTGTCAACAAAGCACCTTCTAAACTGGCAACATGTGAGAACAAGATTCCTCATGTAGTCTGAAAGCCAGTATATTAGATAAGGGAGTTCCAGAGCACTGCGGAAATTGAGCTCAGTGCCGGAGAAGTGTGGGGGTGTCTAAACTCAAAACCAGGAACTGTTGAGTTTTGGGGAAGAGCTTGCTTTCTATTTGACCCAAGCTTGTACTGACCTGATTTGTCATCCCACTTGTTTCCTGAGACAGGCCTTTTTGAAGGACAAAGAATGTTTTAGCAAGACAAGATGGCTGCCCAGAGTGATCATCTTCAACTTCCCACCAAGAGCTTGGCAACTGTTGCTGGAGGTACTGTGTTTTTTCACATGCACAGAGATACCGTGAGACTTAAGGGCAAAAACTGCCTGTGACTGTCTTTATTCTATTTAATCTATGCTAGAACAAATTTGCAAAAGGATGGGAGTAAAACACCCTATCTTACTTGTTTCCCTGGGCAACTAACGACTACATTGCAGGAGAAAAAAAAAAGATACTGAAGCAAAACAAACAAACAAACAAAAAACCAAACCAGAGCACAAAAAATAGAAAAAAACAAACAAACAAACAAACAAACAACAAAAAAAAACAGTGCTGAGGATTTAGTTATCCAGTACTGAAAATCTGATGGCATAGTAAGAACTGTGTGACAATTATGTATGGTGCATAATGTGTCCCAGACTGTTGAACTTGTGAGCTTCAGACATTATTCATTATATTTAAAGTGTTTGGATTTAAAGATAAATCCAAAGTCACTCATGATAACTCACTGCTTTTTAAATACTGACAGCAAGTGACTTGAAAAATGCAGAATTCATTTCATATATTTTAGTTACTACTGGAGGCTTGGAAATGYTCTTTACATAAAGTAGAGAAACAGCAGCAGCAATAGAAACACCCAGTTTGTTGCTTAATCTTCCTTTGTGATTWTTTTTTCTGTTGACCTAAGAGCCAAAATTCATGCAATCATGTTCAAAATGCTGTGCAGCAGTGATTATGCCTTTATTCTGCCTGATGAAAAATCTTCTGCAGCACTTGTTCTTTAGCACCTCTTTTCTACGTATTTGAAAAAAAAAAAAAATACTTTCCACAGCATTGTTTACTCCCCAGAATCACAAGATTTGGGGGATAATAGTGTTTGTCCATTAAAAATCTTTTCCAACAGCCTGCAGTTGCCCTTAAGAACGTGCTGTTAGAAAGTGTTTTAATGAGAAGAAATAGCTCAAAATAACATTCCATCCCAACTGTGTCATGCCATCTCCTGTATATACACTTGTATTTTTGGCATAACTACACAGATGAATTACAGTTAAATAATCAGGGTGTGACTTTGCAAGGCAGCTACTGCATCTCACAACTATTGGTTTGCATGTTTTCACATATTGTCAATACAAAGAAATGTTCTTTCTCCTTTCACTTCAGGATAATTATAAGCCATTTTGAAAAAAAAATAAGAGTGAAGGCAATGATACTATGAGYAGAACCTAATTCCTTTACTCAGTCTTAAGACAGTGAAACCTTTTAGTGAATCTGCATTGGAATTAATTTCAGCAAAGTTATGTAAAGGTATTTACATGGTAATATTTTTCTTCCAGAAATACTCCTACTGGAGTAGGACCAGTATTGGTACAGACTGGAGCTTTTCTTTTGTAGTCTCACTTGAGTTATATTAGTCTCCCTTTGAAGAGAGAAACCCTAAGGAAGGTTGGTCTGCAACTGCACACTTGTGCAGCTGCCATTCATCACTTGCAAATACATTTTACCTTACACAGTTAACTAGAAGAGTCTTAAGCCTCYGGCATAGAAACAATTAGTGCCAGAAGACATTACTGAGCAGCAACTTTGGAACATTTTGGTTGCATTTGTTACTATAAAATGATGCTAGTTATACAGGAAGATTGTTATTTCCAAATTAGTTTAATGAAAACTTCAGTGCTTGTATGGCTGTTTTCAGTGTACCTCTCTTGGGAGTTCAGCATYCTGCATTTGGTGGGCAGATACAAATGGCTCTGCAGGTAATTGTGCCTGATAAAATAGTCACTTTTAATRGCGGATTAGCAATTCCTTCTCCTAATGAGAACTGTAAACAAGCATGCACATATCGGACTTTCATGAAACAGTGTTTGCTTGTTCTGGTTCAGAAACYGGTGACTGCTGGCAGGGTAGCAGGTGTTAGACGATACTGCTGCAGGCTGCCTCCAGCCAATTTCCATCAAGCTCAAATGAGCATGTTGTTCAAGCCCACATATATTCAGCAAACTTTAAAAATTGCAGCGTATTTCTAAATGCAATAAATAATTTGAAGGTGCACTTAAATTGGCAGTACTGTTGAAGGTGATGGTCTTGCCTGCCTTCCCACATTCCCCATCTCGTCTGGTGCTAATGCAAGTCCCCATGTGTCCACATAGGCACCCTGCATGTTTCTTTCTGTATTTCCAATCAGACAGACCAGCAGAATTTACCCTGTGGTCAGCCAGACACTCATACTGGTATAAGTGTGCTGGTGGGAAGCATGAGGAGGAGAAAAATGTCCAGATTTTTTTTTTCTTTCCATTCACATCTCTAGTGTCAGTGAAAAAGTGAAAGACCAGTAAAAACACCAATGCTGGGTGGAAAACCCTGCTTTCCYGGGTATGTGCTGCTGCCTGCAGAGATTGGCCTTGGTCAGCCATTGCTGTCTTGGTGTGGGCCAGGCCTTGCAGAGCACACTCATAGTGTACTGGAAAGGCATATGGCAATATATGCAAGTACTGCCAGCTAAAAATAACTGTTCATGGCAGCTTCACTTGCAGGTTTTTTTCTGTCATCCTTCCTTTTGCGAGCTGCCACTCTTCCTTTCCTGTTGCTTTGCTGCTGCAGGGTTCATCTTGCCCATGCCATGGTGCACTGTGAAACAACCTGCAAGTCTACTGCTTGGGCTGGRCTCCCTCATATGGCTTTGCCAATTCAGAAAATCTTTGTGCACTGAGTTCTTTGTTTCACTGTTACAGGTTGGTGGCAAAAGATGTAAAGAGATCATAGTCTGGAAAAATGCACTTTAGTATAGTTTGRTTGTCTAATTCTGCTCATGAGTCTGATTGCTTTTATGGTAAAAATCTGTCTTCTCATTCTCTTCTGGCTTTATCTGTTGCAAGTCGATCTGTCTTATTGCATAAAAAAGATGGAAGTTATTCTTCATAAAGTTGTTCTATGAGGTCACATGCAAGTGTCCTTTTTTTCTAAATAACATACTGAAATCTGAGGTGAAATACTTCATGTATCATGAGATCACTCACATCTATTTGCTTCTCTCATAGAAGAAAAAAACAAACACTTGTAAGGTGTAAACACATTTTGAAACACAGCCATTTCATCCCTGATTTGAAAGTTTGGTAACTTCTGATGGCATCGTGGCTTCACACATGACACTGGGCTAATACTGGTAATTCCAATCACTAAGCCTGTAATTGCAGCCTGTGATTGCAACTCTGATGACTTGGAGCACATTACAGTAATAAGTGATTGAGACCTTCATGCTAATTTCAAAACACCTAACTAAAAGTCAGATTCAAAAATCAAAATCTATGTGTGGCATAGAGATAAATGCAGTTTGTTGTATAATCTTGGTATGCTGTGTATGCTGTTGGAACTGTTAAATGCAGTTGAAAATACAAAGAGCAGGTGTAAAACAAAACATATTAACTTCAGTAATGGAGATTAAAATAAATAGCTGAGAGATAGACTTTGAAATAATATCTGCTAAAATACTATAGGCAAGGGTCAATATGTCCTCTAGAGCCTTATAGCTTTAGAGCTAAACCATAAAGTTTCTGTTTCCTGGACTACCCAGTGGAGACTTCTGTACATTACACATCTCTGGGAAGCTGACAAGCATGTCAGCAGAGAATTCACTTTTATCAGCTTATACTGCTGATATAGATGTGGTGTGCCACTGAGAGAGAAAAGGGTGCACCATTTAGAATATTGATGGAAATCTTTAACTGTGAGTTTTTATTAAAGGCCTCTAGAAGTCAGTGTTCCAATCAGCTGTACTTTTACAGGGCATCTTGGTAGGTCAGAACCAACCACTTTTTCCACTCAATTTAGAAGCTTTACATTCAGCAAGTCATTTCAAAGCATAAGAAAATTATGACTTGAGTGTGAAGTTTCACAGATCTCTGTTGGAAAGCTGGTCAAACACCATAATTACAGTAATTTTTTTAGTGTTTCTTGCTCTAGTGTCAGTAATGGTATGTGCTACTCCAGGTAGTCAAAGGATTTAAGTTCCAAATGGCTGGAAATTGTTGTCTGTACTTTATTCCCACTGTAAGTGTAGCTGAATTACTTCTGCTCTTAACAAGCAGTAAAGCAAAAAGTTCTAAGAGTGGATGAAAGAAGTCTAAACTGTACCTCTCTCACAGAGTAACATTCAGCTTGTGCTCTGTGTCTTCTATCAGAAAGGTGTTTGCAATTAATAGAGATTATTTATTGGCTAAAAGAATGTGCCTCTGAAAAGGAGAAGTACCTCTGTCTTTAAATCCAAGATGCTTTGGTCATTTGGAAAACATGAACATGCAAAAGGGAAAGGTCAGGGCAACTTTACTCATGTCCATGTGCTTTGTAATATCTTGCCATTTCTTAGTTTGGGCAGTTTCAGAGACTGGATGCACAATATATTCTTTCAGATTTGTTTTTTTCTGAAATATAGCTTTCCAGACAAGACTACAAATGCAGTAAAAATCTCGAGTCACAGCAATAACACAGGAGATTCAGCTATAAAGAACAAGAAAGTAACTAAATTTATCTGTAAAATGTGAACATTTTGAGTTACATCTCTCGACTGTTTAAGAAAATTATTGATTGATGTGAAAGCATACAATGAGTCAAAAAACTCTTCCTCTTCCAAAGCAGGATCATGCAGCACAATTACCCTGGATTTATAGATCCAACCCTAGACAGGCTAATATTAAATAGTGTGAATCTGAGTATCTGTCATGCTACTGTAGGACTAGACTGCAGTTTGAATGTAGAGCACAGTAAAATGTGAGAGGGACAATTATCGAAACAAAAGTTCATCCAGTGTAGTAAGAGAGAAGACAATAATACCTGACATGGAAAGAAAGGTGCTTTAATGAGATACATATTTCCAGCAGAAGGGACTTTGAACAAAACTGCCTGAGACAGCAAAGCATGCAGCACAGGAGATATGTTTTCCTCTGAGCTAGCAAGGGTGCAGTAAGGGGATTGATTCAGGGCACTTCCTGGTCTTGGACAGGACCTCTCTTGGATGCATCCTGCTCACTGTCACAGGGCAGATTAGTTCTTCTGCATTGCATCTAACAATGTAGATGTCCCAAATATGATGCTATTAGGTACTGTTTCTTGTCCCTATCTGAGACACACTGCATCTATCACAGCCCTATCTTTAGTTTATATTTATTCTAAGGGTTAAGTATGCATTGTTAAATGGAAGCCTATAAACAACTAAGATCATTTTTAGACAAAGACGTTAGCAGCAGTGCATGAATATTAATATGCTCCTTAGTTACCTCTGCATCTTTGCAGAGGTTCTGGGATTTCATTTTTGCTTTGGTTCTGATCATTGTGCTTGCTCTGGTATATACTTGCTAATCCTTCATAATGCTAGCAATATCTCTTATGGCATCAGGCATGTAAAGAAGTTAAATTGAAGTTCATGGATTTGTATCCTCTACAAAGAGTTGTTTCACGTAATAAATAGTACTGTCAGGAAAAACATACTCTTTCTTCCAATAGCTAGCAAATCAGAGGAAGTAAAAAGAAACTGCCTTATTAATTTTAGGAATCTTGTTATTTTGCTGAACAGACAGTTTCCTTGTTAATACCCTAATCTGAATGCTTTGCCAGACCCTGACCAAATTCTTTTCCTTAGACTGAACAGATTTCTTTTTCCCCCAAGAAATTTGACTTTCTAGCAAAAGTGTTGAACAGAGCTAAATACCCCAAATCGGTAGTTCCATGGAGCAGCCTGGCACTGTAAATTGTTGTGGTAGTTCAATATATTTGTGTTACTCTACCATCTGCTTGATAGATAATGTAGTAGGCAAGATCAATGCCTAACATAATTATGTCAGTAGAAGCCTTGACGTAATGTAGACATAATGGCCCTGCAATGTACTTCCTAGGGCAGTCCCCAGATGAGGACATGGATCTATATTATCTTCTATTTGCAGCCTCAACATGACTTCTGAAAGTCTACACAACTCTCTGGCAACAAGTCACAATAGAGATATTCTTAAAATAATGGTGGATTGATTTCTCCTTGACACTGTCTCTGTAAGGACAGCAAGCTGTGCAGAGGCTAAATGGCATGATGGGTTGTACTCCCACACCTAAAGAGAGCTGTCCCTATGTGGACACCAAATGTAGTAGTGATTTTAGTGTAGATGGTGTGTTTGCGTTTTATAGCATTGTCTGGTAAGACAGAGCATGGTCAGTAATGATGTTGGACAGAAACTTCAGGAATGAGCATATTCTCTGGAGAATCCGAACCAGCTTTGATAACAGTAGGAGTGGTGAATCTCAAAGAACCTGCTGGCACAATTTTCTTTCTAAGAATAAGACCTGATAGTTAGGCTAGGGGTTGGAGCTGATGATCTCAAAGTTCTTTTCCAATYTGATTGATTCTCTGATTCCGTGACTTTTGGGATGAAAAGTAATGAAATATGTGGGGTTTGGACTAGATGATCTCTGAAGGTCCCTTCTAATCCTAACTCTTCTGTGATTCTGTAAATTAGAAGGCTTGAAACTTAAAATGTTGCAAAATCTTGGGGAAAAGGCCACAAGGCTTTTAATAAGCTGCATCCAAGGAGGAAAGAGTCTCATGAGAAGCTATCCATTTCCTTGAATATTTGCTGGAGTTTTTGACAAACCAGGATGAGAATGCAATTAAGAGAGATGTAAAGAGATTTTATAGACTAGACAGTAAGCAGAAGATAAGGATAACTACATTCCTAGGAAAGCCTTCTTTTGAAAAAAAAATATGCATATTTCCCACCAGACTTTAGCAAGGAGGGGAATTTTCTGTGAATTATTTTAACTGAATTTAAAATAATGATTTAAACACACTTCATCATATTTATATTGCTGTACTGATATTATATAGTAATTGAAAACAAGAATACAGAGTGTGGAAAAAAATACAGACTAACATTTATTAAACTTTCTGAGTATCTTAGCTGTAATAAAGTAATTGGCTAGAAATAAAATATTAGAGAGAAAAGACAATAAGTAAGTACTCTGTGGTGCTTGGGATAATCAAATAGATTACTTTCCTTTTGAGATATTCTTCATGACAGAAGCAAATTAGAAATTCACAACATGCATTGGAAAGCTGGAATAAGTGGGTATGCCTCTTATTAGAGTGACTGGGAATTTTTCCCCCAGATATTATTCTATGGCTTATTAATAGGATACAAACATGGAAATAAAGATTGATGAGGCATCTGATAGTGCTTTAAAAAGTAWTTGACAATTGTATTTGAAAATTATAGGCTTTCAAATCCATGAAAGTGAGTTCTGTTAATTATTCAATCTCAGAAAAAATGGGGAATAAATTTGAAGCAAAAGATAAGACATGGCAGAAACTCATTACTTCCATCCCGGTAAGGCAGCCACAAATGAACCCTGAACCCCTTACTATCAGCTCAGTTCAGAGACACATGTCACTGATGGCTTACAACTCAAGGTAATAAAATTTAGTGAAAGTATTATTGCAGGCTTCATAAAAATATGTGGAGGTAACATGGTATAACCAACTGTAAAAGAGAGAGGAAAAATAGATGAAGTATGAAACCTGTGAAGATTAGTAAAGTGGACAAACATAGCTCTGACATGCAGAAGCCAAACTCTAAAGTGTATACATTCCAACAAAGGCAATGTTATGGTATTGTGTCATTAGAATGAAACTACTTTAGCAGAGACTCTAATAGAAATCACATCACAATGTATCATAAATCTATATTTGTCATAGATAAAATATAATAGATGTGCCTGTTAACAGCTAATCAGAGATGGTCATGATAGAAAACAAAATGGAGATTTAAAGAGTTAACTGGGAAACATACATTCTCATACATTGCACTGGGAAGTACAATAATAAAAGAGCAAACAGGTTTTCCATTCAGTTTTACCTTGGACAAAGGATCCCCCACAGCTATGCTGAACAGTGCCTTGAAATACAGACCATCCCTGAGAGCTGTTAATTAACATTGAATAGGAGCCAGAAAGATTTCTTTAACAAAGACAGCAAAAAAACATAATTGACCCAAATTAATTAAAAACATTAAGATGAAATGTATATGCACAATATCATGCAATATTGCTACTGAGGAACCTACTCCTATTTCCATGAAACACAAGCTTTTTAATTACARTCTTTCAGGAAAACCTGCCATTTCCTCCTTATCTTTTGTGGTGGTATGAAGGAAGAACACATAACAGTAAATTAAACAGTAAGTGAAACAAGTGTAGAAATCTGTTTCTACCAGCTCTCACATGGGAAAAGGAGTCAGCAACTGAAGCAAGCAGAAGGGAGGAAGAAACGTCTCTTAGGGACGTTCTCCATCAAACGTGCTCTTGGAAGGGTTTTTCAGCACTCTCAAGTTGGTTTATATTCAAAATGCTTGCCAAATAGAAAACAGTAATATAAAAATGCAATGGTAAATATTTTTCTCCAGATGTCAAGGACAGGCTCGCCATCATTAAGAGTGAAAAGGGACTAGGGTCAAAGGACCATGGTGCCACAGGATAGTCCAGATGAGGAGAGAGCTCAGCTGGTGCCTGGTGCAAGACATTGCTTCTGGCAGTGTCAGCGGTGGGGTCAGACCGGGCTGCTCAGGGAGAGAGGGACCCTGCACAGCACCAGGCAGTGTGAGCTGCTGCTCATCTGTCCTCCTGGAGAAAGGTTTCCAAAGGGCCAATCTCAGTCTCTCCTGCCCCTCACCAGTCCACTGTGCTCCCCTGAGAAGATCCCAGCCCTGACAGACCCTCACAGGCACTGGAAGCTGCTTCTAGGTGCTCCCAAGGGCTCGCCTTGTCCAGCCTGAACCAGCTCAAGAGCACCAGCCACTGTAGGCAGCGCTGGAGCAGGCTGAGAGCCCATGGCACATCTTCCCTGGGTCATGTCCAGAGAATCTCTCCCATCTGCTGTAGAGTGTGCTGTCCCATTTCAGCTGTGAGTTCAGCTATGGGCCTGCTTCTTTAAGAACCTTGAAAGATCCCCGTATTCATCTTGTAAAGACTGAAAATTCAGTGGGGAAAAAAAAAAAAGGAAATATGTATTTTTGTATTAGAATTAATTATGTGCATTTATAGGCTTGTGTCATGGTTTAACTGCTGAAACTAGCACATGTATTTGGGAATTTGGAAGCACTGTGCTGAACAGACCTAAAATAATCACACCCTATCTTTTCCCATGACAAGTACGATTTGAGGCACAGAGGAATTTAAAGTCCCAGGCTGCAATATTGCAGCCCGCTAAAGTCCCATGTTGCAGCACTGCAGCCCACAGACTATAAGAACCATTGTGAGATAATAAGAAAAGATGGCTCAATGGTCTTCAGAGACCAGGAAAATAATCAGCATTCACTTCAGTGAAGAGTGGGAAATAGACTGGAAGGAATATAGCTCATGCAAGTTCAGGCAGGCCAACTAAGGTGACATCCTCATGAAAAGAAAAAAGAAACAAATTACAAAAGCAGCAGTACTGAGTCTATTCAATGCTGAAAGAAAAGCCGATTAACCACCAAACAACACAAATACTGCAATTAGAATGGCTTTTGGCTGTACAATATTACACAAAGTTGCACATTTCAGAATTTTCTGTAGCTTGAGCTGTATCTGACACTGATTTTTCTGTTGTGTATCTGTGGGATCATGTGCAGCAAAGGTCTTTTTTATGGTGCTGCCACCCAAAGTCATGAAGCAGAGAAAAAGTAGCAGTATACCAATTTTGTGTATCTTTCTCAGGTATAAAATTATGGAAACATAATTTTATACAAACAGAACAGCCTCCAGATGAGGTAGTGTGTGCTGATATGAACAAAGGTGATGAATYCTTGGGTAGCTTGTAAAGGATTTATCCTCAGATTACCTTGAATTCAGGCAGCATGTTTACCACAGCACAGTGGAAATTTTGTTGTGTGATGTGTGCACTGCAAAGTCAGGGAAGTGTATGAACGAGCAATCACATTACTGGGGACATGTATTTACATGACCTTCAGTTGCTCAGTGTGTGCATTGCACTACTTTGTGCAATGGAAGCATTAAAAGGCAGCTTTTAATAGAGAGCCCTAATTGTAAGAGAATCTGTATAATTTTGTATCAGTGTGCAGACCACCAAATCTCTCCTTTGCCCTTGGCGCATTTGTAAGGAAACTGAAAGAAGCAACAGCGGGAGCTGCACAGGARCCTGAACAGACATGACAGGCAGGTTATGTGGCTGCCTGCTGCTGCAGTGGCAAAAGCGCTAAAAGGTGAGTTTGTAAAAACTTAGACCCTAATAAGGGCATCAGTGAGTGAACTCAGTGTCCCAAGTATCTTAGGCCAAGGGCTCACGTATCTCATGCAGCAGTGGTAATGAATGAGAATGAACGCACTTCCCTGTCTGCTCAGGTAATTTAGTCCTGTTGGCTCTCTCTTGTGAGAGGCTCTTAGGGAGGCTGTTGTCAAATATTTTCGATAGATAGGCAACCAAATACTATCTTCAGAGGGCACTAGTGAGCTTCCCAAAACACTCCATCGACAAGTGCCCAGACTTTTGAAGGGTATTGGGTATATTGAAGGGTAAAGTGTTTCACCAATATTTATATACTTCTCTATGTATCAATTTCACATTCCAAGTCAGATATCACTTTCCTGATTTACATAAAAGATGACAATGTTCTAATTTTCTGTATTTATTCAGTAGCTATAAAAGGGTTTGGAAAATTTCCAGATCCATCTCACAGTTCTTGTCATCGGTGAATAAAATGCACACTTGGCCAAAATTAGATCACTTGTCTTAGGAAGGAATTAAGCTATTTGTAGATATTTTTCTTACTAGATTTCTCCAAATATGATAAAACTAACAGATGATACTTTTAGTTAATGATTTGCAATGTGGTTTAATTCCCATTTTCCTTCCTGTCATCAAACCAGTGGGCAATATACAATACACAATTAGTGCAGCAAGTCTACTAATTTTTCCTTCTTTTATGAAACTTCAAATTTCTTCCAATTAAATTATTTTATTTAGTATATTATGCAAAGTGGTCTTATAACAATTACTATTTCCCTATTTTAAAATGCTTTTATGTTTGTTATGGAATGGAACTTCATAAAAAGAATGCAGTGATAGCATTTAAGTTGGAGCCTCATAAAATAAAAGTCAGAACTAAAACAAGTTTAAAATTAACATGGAATATGAATATGAAACACAAACAATTCATTTGTTGGGGTTTTTTCCCCCCAAGAAATATTTATATCCTTTATGAAAGAGTTCTTTGTGATTTTAATGCCTTGGATTTGAACCCTTCTTTTCTTTATGGTTTTGTAAGATATTGAAGATGACAGTTTTAAAACAGAATGAGTGATACAGAAATAAAGAGATAGTACTTCAGTGGAACTTTCCTGAGAACAGTTATTTTTATTTACATGTACATCAACCATTCAATAGAAAATTACAGCTGTCACAGTAAATTTTATCTATAGTAAAACCCAAATTGTTGATTTTAATATTTTTCGTGTTTTGTTTTGTATTTTCTGTTGCTTATTACATAGCAAATTAAAAGAACTAAATATTGATTTTTCAAATAGTCAGTTGGTGTTAATGCAAATACTGTAGTGCTGCATCTTGGAAAAATATTCATTTTGTATTAGATAATATTACTTATGTTATACAAAAGCATGGTGAATTCTTAGAATGATGAAAATCTTGTAACCCAAAGGTTGATATGCTGTTGTTTGAATCATTTAGCAATGACATAATAAAACATTAATATATGTTAATATTTCAAGTAATCATTGCTGATTGCTCTGCATGCTGAAAGCACACCAAATAGCATGCATTGGCTGTGATTCATTGTCCCTTTCTCCACACACAGATGGATGCACACATTTGCACACACAGAATCACAAGGTAAACAGGACTGATCAATGTTTATGTGGACCTCAAGAGCAGCAAACAATTTCTTAGATTGAACTGCCAGTTTTAGGCTTTATAGTGCTTATTATGTATTTAGTTATTTGTTTAATTATTTTCTTCTCTGGAATAGTATATTTAAACACAGAATTTAATTATAGATTATATATGATTGCTATCAATTTTATTTCTCTCTCTTCCTGGTGCAAGACTAGGCCTTTCTATTTTTATTTGGAAAGAAGATAGAGTAAGTTGCAAATGCAAATGCAGAATATGTATCATTATTCTATTTTACCTTGCAACTGTAGTTGCTACTTTTTTCTTTGCAAGTCCCCCAGAAAAAATAGAGATAATATGCTTGGTGTTAAGTGCAAGAACAATTCCTTATAGACATAAGATTGATTAGAGCACTAATATTTATTTAGCAGTGCTATCAGATCACAGCGGCCTTTGCAATGAAAATTCTCTAGTTAATGTGCAGAATAAGACATGTTAGAAAATAAATTTATTTCTCTTCCTCGAAAATGCATTTAAGAACATAGTCTTTATGGTGCAGCTGACAGTGCACTCCAAGCTGACACAATTTTTACATGTGATCTACCTGTATTTACAAAGGAAAGCTTTGCACAGCTGTTTTTCATTTGCCCTCTTGGCATTTTAATATCTGTATGGTTCAAGCAAATTTTGTGGTTTTAAATCACTGCTGAAAACCTCAGAATAAACTGTTTACAAAGCCATAAACCTGCTTTAGAAGAAAGGCTGAAACAGGCCTGTCTGGAGCCTGTATTTACAAAGTGATTAAGGGTATCAAAGCAGAAGAGGACACCAGCTTCTGGTTGTTGTTATGCCATTTCTCTTTTATTTCCTCTTAGATTTGGTTCCTTCTCAGATGTATGCCTCTGGTACTGCTGGATCCCTTCAATTCACACATGCAGGAAAAACAAATCCTATTATTTGTTCCATGGGGCTAGAAAAACACTGTGGAAAAAAGGTACCTTCTAGGTTTTCTATATCCTCACAGAGAATTTCCTCATTGTTTAATCAAGACCTTCAGGGCTACTGCAATAGACAAGTAATAGAGAGTAACAATCAAGGCATTTTAATACTTTGGGGTGTTGAGCACACTTAACTTTCACTAGAAACTCGTTGAATATGACAGGATTAAGGCCTAAAGCTTTAAAAAGCTCCTGGTACCATTCAGTTGCTCAGACAGGGATTAAAACTACTGCAGGCAGTAGCAAAGTGGTAAATATTGACTCAGCAGCAAATAAAATAAGTCCATTGAGGTGGAGTGTACAATATGTGGTGGAAGAAGAGTCACGAGAAAGCAATAYTGCTCTTGGGCAGATTAAACAGTGTACACCACAAACCCACATGCTGTTTCAGGAAAGTCATAGTGTTCATAAAACACAGTGGCACTTTACACTCTTAACAACCTTTAAACGTGGAAATTGCATATGCACTTTTTTTTTCTTAATCTGGTAAAAAATTATTTTCTTTAGTTGCAAAACAGATGAAGTCTGGTACTAATGAACTGCCCACCACTCTTTAATATGTTTTAAAATGTGCATGTCTAAATTTTAGTTCCTGTCCACAAATACGTTAAAAAACCTTATATATATATATTTTTATATTTGTTTCAATACCATTTTCTCCTAGAAAAACACAAACAYTTTATAAGCCTATAAAGAGAAATAGATTACCTACAGGCGATCAAATGATGAGAAAGACCACAATTTTAATAGCGCTTTTCAAGCCTTGGTAAGTGCGTGGTTTGTTCCACTCAAAATCAGTAACTGCAATGCCATTTTGCATATAGGAGTCAACAGCAAATCTACCACCAGGCTGAAACATTTCATTTGTCTCAGCACCTTTGTTAAAGTTTATGTTTCTTTAGCGTTATGAGTATGGCTTTGGATGGTGGAAGGAATGTGCATTAACACACAGATGAGCACTCTTCCATTTGGTTGCTCTTCTTTTCCCTACTTGTGGAACAAGAACAATATAAAAAAGTTAACGTTAATCTTATGAATGCAAGAATGCCTGACAGTTCAGACACCATGCATTTGCACATATGAATTGTGAACTACATTAATGAAAGGTAGCAACCAGAAAAAGAAATGACATGTGAGCTGCATACCACGAAAACTGCTGGTGAGAGAATAAAATACAGGGCCACTTCATGAAGTGGCTGTGAGATAAGAAAGGGTGTATGCATTTGAGGATAAAATTATTAGTTCCACTGCAACTGAAAAGAACAATGGGCTTCTGTGTTTTGTGTTTTTATGTCCCAATACTTGAATGGCCATCTGCTTAAGTCTGTAGAGGTATGAGGAATAGCCAATCTTCTGTCAAAAGCTCAATCATCCTATGAGGTTAGAGCCTGACCATTAAAAAACTGAAAGAGTTAACAGGTTGAAATAACAGCATAAGATAATTTTCTTCTTTTTTGGGTTTTGGTTTTTTTTTTTCAGGCTAGCCTTTAAGCACCTCAAGGCATTTTAAACACATAAATATTAATGTCTGTATGCAATAGATTTGTGGAGATATGCCGATACTGAATTTGGAAACATGAATATCCAAGCACCTGATGTAAACATTAAAGAAAAAGTAAAGTCATTGCATTATACCTCAGGTAAGTTTCTTAGGGACATATATAAATGGTATCACCCTTTTAAGCATGATATGGAAATCTATGCCATGTGAAATACCACAGAGGGTTCAAAACTTGTAAAAGAATATTTTTCTTGGAATAGACTGGCAGTATGACAATTCATTATGTGAATGGGGAGTCTACATATTTGTTTATATATAACTTCCCGTTTCACAGTTAAATGGAAAAAAATAGTATTTATTATACTCAACCTGAAATTTGCAGTATATAAGAAAGGAATAGACGTACCTAATAACTTAGAATTTACATGAAAAGGACAAATACATTCTGGTAGMTAAGACTGCATAATGACTATTTCAACAGCTATTCATGTGAATTTCAAGTAACAGATTATACATGAGCAGTCTAATCAGAGTTCAGTGCAGCAGGCGAGGTGTCATAACTTCTCCAGGACTAGATGGAGACTCCCTGGTCTACACAAAGAACTGACCATCTAAATGGCATCTTTGTATGGGTGGAGAAAGCCCAACTCAGTCATTTCCAGGATACTGACTATTGCACTGTGGCCCAAAAAGTATCCTATGCGCATGGGACTGATGACATGTGAAAATGGACTGATGCGTCTGGAAATCATCACTGTTTACCCTTTGCAGTAGGACAAGACTTCTACATGCCAGACAAGATCACTCTCAGCCATGCACTGTGGAGTGCACCAGTGGATATTTTGCACAGCAGCTCCATGCCAGAGCAGCCCTCTTGGCTTTCCCAGCATTGCTGCAGGGCAGATTTGTGTCCTGGCAGCATTCTACTGGGAAGTGATGGGTGGACCCACCAGGGCCCATCACCACTATTACTCATGAGATAAAGTCCAACTCAGCATCCTCAGGTGTTAAGGAACACAGAATATTTTATAAATACATGGGAAAGGAGTGGACAGTTAATGTATTATCCAGCAGCCCTTTCATGATTTTCTTCAAAAATAGCTATAATCTCAGTTGTGTGAAATGAATGTAAAACTCTAAATATGAATGAAAGTTGTAAAGCCTGTTAATTGTTAACTGTTAATTTGCAAGCTGAAGAATCTAATAATGGTTGACTTTTACCTTAGAATCAACCACATATAATACTCTCAGCTGGAACTGAAGTATCATCAAAAGCCAAATAAAACCTGAATTTAATAAACAAAAATATCTTTAGCGATATCTTGCAAGGATACCTGTCAGTGTATATCTCCCTCACCAAGGAACTGGTTATATCAGATCACTGAAGTGAAAGCCAATGTACTGCACTGTACAGGAGATGTGACAGCACCATTAGCTGTTACAAAATGCCTTTCACAAAATGAAAACAGTACCAAAAAAGAAAAACAAATATCACTGTAACCTTCAGGCTGCAAATATAAAACTCAGGGTACTGAAGACATGAATAAAGCAACCTTTCTGAAAAGAAAGGTTTCACAAAGTGGTCATCTGTTTAGAACCTCACTACTAAATGCCAATATTTATGTATTTATGCATTTCACATTTTCCCAAGATACTATGGTGCATTTTTACTCCATATACTGTTAAAAGTCCCAAAATCTTAAGAGGAGAATCAAGTAGTTCTTCAAATGATTCCCAGTGTGATCACAAAGGGAGAACAAAAGATCTTGAGGAGATCAGTAAGGGATTTTGAATCTTAACCTCACTAAGGTCCACTTTTGCCTTGTGTATTCACAAATCAAAGAAAMACTGCAGAGAGATCAAGGGCAACAAAGACAAGGTCAAACAGTACATGAGGTAGGACAGTTATCCCTGCCTGCACGGCATTGTTCTTTTTAACATCAAAGGTAAAATATAGATATAAAAAATATCTTCCTGTAGCTCATTATTAAAAAGTAAAGGAAGGATACAACATTTTCTAGTACCATAGACAAATTCTAAACATGCCATTTAAAATGCTAGCTTCTTTCAAAGCTGCCTGTGTATCATTGACAAAGGTGACCTCACTGCTGTTAATGAGTGACTCATGGATGTTTCTTGTACAGAAAGAACACAAGGTATGTAATTGTAATTCTGCAAGTGAAATAATTTACATAGATATGTCAATTTTGTACTGCACTACACTGAAGAGTGTTGTTAATATGGATTTAATATGCAGATGTGCAATTATGAATATAGAAGAGACTCATGGGAGTATGATTTAAAAATCTCATATGGACTTTCCTCGGATGTTATCAGGAAAATATATGAAGGATTTACTCACAAAAATTGTGCATACATGTACTTGGTATTGCATCATGGAGCATTTAAGGGCCTCCTTGTTATTGAAAAAAGTAATAGTTTTCTCAATAATCAAAAAGTAGTAAATTGTTCACTTCCAAACCTCTTTGTACATGCACAAATTCTGCAKTTGTCAGACTTTCAGAACAGTCACAGCCACTCTGTGTTAAAATACTGGGAAATTAAGAGTCTTTCCTATCTGACCTTCCTGGTCTTCTAATAGTACGACCATTTTTTACAGTGTCTCTTAAAAAAAACCAAAATCAAGGCCTGAGTGAGCATACTCATTAGCAATTGTGAATGACAGGAGTCATCAGCTTGTTAGGAGAACTGCAGCTCCAGAAAGACTCAAATAAAGAAGACCTACTGACATTAGGGGGAAAACAATGAAAACGACTTTATGATGGTATTTTATAATCAAAACTGTATAAATACACTTTTAATTGTATAGAACATTTTTTTCTTTTTAAATGCCAGTGTCCTACAGTGCATTCACTTTGACATTATAATAAAACTTACAGTATATAATTTGTCTGCAGCTCAGACAATTCACAGATGTTGCAGAAGTGAGAAGGGGYATCAATCAAACTGCACGACAGGTGGCTAATGGCTGTCCTTGCCATTCCCCAGGCTGAGATGTGGAAGAGACACAGCAGCAGTGCCTGGGATCAGCAGTGAGATGAGGTGTGAARCTCCTGCCTCACTGAGCACTGCTGACAGCAAATACGGGAGGGGGAAGGTAGTGCCCCATTCCTGTGGGGATGGGAGCCAGCATATGGATTTATATGCCTGACAGGTCCATTACAAAGGCTCTCACTCTGTCCACAGAGGAGAGAACACTAGTTAACGTCCTTTCTTTTATGAAGTAAGACAAACATACTTAGCAGTAACAAAGGTCAAATCCACTTAAAAAGGAAATGAGAAGTTTTGTATTTTCTTAGCATATCAGCATGTTAGGCTGTAYCAGTTATAAATGTCATACTGTGTCGCAAATAGATATAGATTAAAAAGTAGTTGTCAGCTGCAGAGTAAAACTCCTCATTATTTTTGTTGGTGTCCTCAGTTCCCCCTCCTTCCTGATTTCTTCACCCACCTCAGACAGGGGTCTGRGATTGTTGTCTACTGTTAGCCTGCTCTTTCTTTTGTTATATTGCAAATCCTATGTGCTTTACACATGTGGATTGGATAAGGCTTGAGGGGCTGATACAGATCTGTAGCACCACTGGCCTCTTCTGTCCAGTGAATTCTTCTTGTAGGAAGAAGTCCCAGCTTGCTGCAAAATTGGAGCAGTTCACAGTGTAAGCCCAGAAGTAGCTGGTTGTGCAGAAAATTGCAAATGAGGGTCTCTCACTGTTTTGGTTCATAATTCACTTTCTTACCTAGAACCCAGTGAACAGATTTTTTGTTACCTTAAACATTCACCGAGGTTGATTTTCGGGATTTGGCAGCTGATAGAAGAATAAGATCACTCATCAGTTATCAGCAATTCTAGCAATATTAAGATCACTATTCATGGACAGGATAATTTGATAAGCTTTTTGATCTTTTGCCAAACAAAAGTGATTAAGGCTATAGGAGTTTACAACTGTCTTTGGAGAAACATCTATATACACTGAATGCCAAACTTGATGGATTTTTTCTCGTATCAGGAAACTTTAAAAAGAAGATAAATCTTTAATATGCATGAATTATCAGCAACAAATTGTGTTATGGTGACATGCTTATCAATCTGCTTTTCAAAGGATGTGAGGCTTATATTTACTAAAATGATGYGCAAGACATCGTGCCCAACAGCGTATGAGATTGATTTTGCTTATGCAAAAACTGGAAAAGTAAGCATTGCCATCTACAGATACATAGTATCACCTTATAAATATCCTGGGATGTGGTACCCRAAGTTAGGCCTAACAGCATGAAAATATTTTACTTTTGCATTACTTCTTGGAAGAGCTTTTTGGGCAGAAAGAGGCTCTAATATTTCATACAGGGATAAGTGTCCTACAGTGCAAAAATGGAAATTGATGTGGGACCTGCATTTACAAGTAAAAACATTTGTAATGCTTAAGTTCCTATGAGAAATTTATGGAAGACTGAAAACTAGTTGGAGTGGAAAGAAATATTATTAAGTGGTTTCATTGTGCCAAAGAGAATGGCCATGCTGCCTCAGGACTGGGAGACATCTCAGCTTTCGGTAGATTCGGTGGTGAAGAGCTGAAATGGTGAAGTGCCCTGGTAGGACACGTCCTCCCTCCGGTCACGGAGGTCACACTGCCGGCTGCACTCTGGCCTTCCTTGACCTTGGCCGGTCTCGTCGGGCCAGACCGGCCCGCACCACCCCGCTCATGAGCTGCAGTGCCTATCYTAGGCAGCTCTCATTTCGCCTCATTTTACGAGGACGGTGAAAAGCYCCGCAGCCTACAGGCAATCTGAGTCCAAGCAAAAATGTCTGTTTTCCCAAGCCTGAGGGACCCAAGCCTCCTGTTACCACGTGCTTCCTCTTGTCACTGCCCGGTGGGAGGGAAGGCTGCGGCTGAGCCCCTGCCCTTGTGAAAGGCGCTGGGAGGGGATGCGCTTGGGATATCGCCATGGGCCATGGCGGGAGGCGCAGCAGCTCGGCAGGTGTCCAGTCCGCTCCRTCACTCACCGCCCCGCTCCGGCGCGGCGGCAGCCTATTCCAGGGTTATTTTGACAGGAAAGTCAGGTTATTTTAACAGGAAAGTCGAGTTCCCCACAGCGCGGACGGAGCCCTCAGCCCGCCCCAGGGACGGCGGCCGGGCCGGGCATGCGCGGCGGCCGCTCCGCCCCCGGGAAGCACCGCCTCCGCCGCCGCCGGGCGCGGGGGGACAAGCGGCGGTGGCCGAGCGGCCGCGCCCTCCGCCATGAACCTGCACCAGGTGCTGACGGGTGCCGTGAACCCTGGGGATAGCTGCTTCTCCGTGGGCAGCCTGCGCGACCAGCCCTTCACGGTGAGCGTCCCTAGCCGCGGCCGCGGCGCCTCCGCAGGGCCCAGCGCCGAAAGCGGCTGCGTCAGGCGCGGCGGCCGCGGGCGGCCCGGGGAGCGGGGCTCGCCCCGGTAGCGCCGTCCGGCGGCGGCGGCACCGCCCGAGGGCCCGCGGGTCCCCGGCCCGGCGGCGGCGGGGGTGCGCGAAACTTGTCCGGAGCGGCGGCCCCGATGCCGGCGGCGGCCCGGGCAGGGCGCGGAGCGGCGGGCGGGCGGGCACGTGTCGGGAGCGGCGGGTCCGGGGACGCGGGGCTGTGGTGGCCGTGATAAAAGATTACATAAACGGCAGCCGGGACGGGCGGCTCGCTCCGCAAGGGAGTTCCAGCGCTGCCTCGCAGTCAGGAAGGTGGCTGAAATCGTCTGTGGGCACAGCTGAGGAAGACCTTGGAATACCCAGCCGTGGTGTACCTGAGGCTTTCAAAGCGTGTTTGAACTCCCTGTCGATGTTTGTTCTGAAGAGTGGAGAGAAGACACTTGAGTGCCTGTAAAGGCCAAGGTCTTTATTAGCGTGCCTTTCCCTTCCTTTGGCTTTTGTTTTGTAAACAGACTTGTGTTGTGCTCTTCCTCCCACCCTCCTTCCGCGTGGGGCTGAGAGCAATGAAATCAGACGTAGCAAAGTTTCTCAGGGCACCACTCTGGGGTATTTTTAACCTTCCCTTTTATGGCTGCCCCCAGCTTCGGCATGGTGTGATTTCCAGCTTAATAGGGGAATAGGTGGAAATGCGGGAATGAAAACTTGTTTGCGGTCCCATCTGGTGTGTGCAATTAAATTCGTCTGGCTACTTGCAGCTTCACTCTGGGCTAGTGGAGCTAAGAGCTGCTTCCCCAGGGTTAGGCTGGCTCTGTGGAGTCCGTTTGCAGCGCAGTTCAGACATGTCCTTGCTTCCTATAAATAAGTTCACTTTGGAAGATCTCTGAAACTCCAGCAATTGGGACTTCATATACCAAATTGTGACAAACTCTCTGATTTTACATACCCAAAAATGTCAAAGACTCATGTGTGGTGGGAAGCAGTTTGGTAAGAGACGAAGAGGTTTGCTTTACAGTGAAGTAGTCGTATGCTTTCAAAATATGTTCTCGTAAGTTTGCCATTTTGATGACATTCTTTTTTGAGGGAAATAATCTTAGTTTTTTATATCACTAGAATCACATTATACCTGTTAACAGCCGAAATTATGTACAGTCTTGAAGATCTCCWAAGAAGATAAGAAGAGTAAGAATCTCTTCTTGAGGAGAAGGGAATGATTGATATTTATGAATGTGGTCTCTTTTTTGGAGATGTTTTCATATAAGGCTAGTGTAACAATGTTTCTTTGACATTAATGTTAACACTGTTTCCCATAGTTGCATTCATGTTCCTTTTTCATTATCCTTTTTCCCTGGAAAGTTTTTTTATGGATTTATTTTCCTCAGATTTGAAACTGCTAACAGGCTGCTTCAGGGCTGTTTTTGTTGTTGTTACTCATTCTCTAATACTGTGTTAAGTTAATGAGATTGCTCAGAAGGATTAGGAAGTGAAAAGTACTGAAGATAATTTCTGYTTTTTTGGAAGGCAATAACGGACTTAACCTTTAGAAAATCCAAGAAAAAGAAATTGRCTATAGTTTTTTTTCTGTCAGAAATTATAATAACAGCATTAATAAGTAAAAATATTACTAAATTGTCTTTTAGAAATGGAAAAAAACCCTCCAAACCTGTCAAACTTCTATGCTTCCAGATTTTGTGCTTGAGAACTCATAGGAGTTGATATTTCAGGTTTATGGACTCTACAGGAGGGGCAAATCRTCTTTGTCCAACAGGAGAACTTGGTCTGTATTTTTTTTTTTGGGGGGGGGTAGGGTACAGTATGCTTCAGGATATTTTCTGAGAGGCATCTTTAAAGTGAGGTGTTTTAAAATATTACAGGTTAAGCTAAAAATACCAAGATTCTGCTCTTATTTGAAGCAAAATTTTGTAAAACTGTTTGTATCCACTGAATTGTGTACCGCTTTTAAAATAGCTGAAGTTATTTTTTAAAGAGGTATTTCGGATACTTACTCTAATGGGAGGAATTTGTTGTTCTGACCTTGTTTTTCTTAAAGTGTAAAGTGGAGCATGCGCTTCCTTGGAGAGAGATTTGATTAAGAGTTTTTAGCTCATCTTTTATTTATACATAGAAAAGGGCTCATAAGCATCAAAATATCATAAGAAGCATGCCTGTTGCTTCTTCACTAATTGCAGGTGATAGTAACCTATGGCAGACTAAATGAATAAGAACCTGGCTCTCAGATGTCAGAATTTTATCTGTTTATTTTTTATATCCTTATCCTGTTACTGATTTTTTTTTTCCCTTGTACTTCTTCCTTTGCTTTCTTTTGTTCATTTCAGTTCTGAAATATATGAGTAAAAGTTTAAAAAGTTTATGGAGTTGATCACATAGGATTCCTCTGAACTAGTTATTACTGAAGTAGTGTTTAAGTTACTTAGTTAAGTGGGTAACCAGCACCAATTTTTTTTTTTGTATATTCAGTTCTTTTGCTGTTATTTTTTAAAAATTATTTCCTGAAATAAATCATTTCCTAAACTATTATTTCCTCCCACTGAAGTGGTCGAAGATGGGGGGAAAAAGCTTCTGTGAGCAATAGCAACTTTACAAGTCCAAGTCCAAAGAATGATAATTAAAGTCACAAAAGAGTGATTGTTTGTAGTGGTAAAAACACGTGAAAGAAAGATTAATTACATGGATTATTTCAAGAGAACCAGAGTAGTTCCCTGACAGATTTCCTCTGTGTGTGATTAAACTAATTCTTGACTTGAGACTTGTTTTGTACAACTGGTAGAACTGTGAACTTAAAATCTGAAGTTGAAAGGCACTTGGAGGTGAGGTAGAGTTTGAGATCTTGGTGCTGACCAGACTGAGTTTTTGAAAGCAATTGGGTTGCAGTAGAAAAAGGTTTCCCGTTTTGCAGACATTTTTGATAAATAAAAGTTGGTTCTGTGACTCAGTTACATTGTTACTTACCTGTCTAGAAAGTACTTTACAATGGTACTTAGAGCTCCATGGATATCTGTAGTTCAGAAAATTAACTGAGTGATCTTGAGAGTCAGTCAAGAAATTACATCATTTGCACCTCACCTGCTTCTTGCTTGTGATTCAGTAAAGGGAAGAAACCTTTTGGTGACTTCCTTTTTCTTTTTCTTTTT